GTCTTCCTTTTCGTCTATATTTATCTTTCATGCGAGTAACTCTCTTCTTCTCAGGTTGTCACCCACCTTGTCAGTTTTGTTCCTCTGCTCCTTTTAGAGAGCGAAAGGCGGCTCGCGATCAGACTGAAAAGCTTACATTTGTGTTACCCAGGCTGGTCTTAGCGGACCCCCTGTCAAAGGGTGTGTCGTCCCACCAAAGGGGTCAACGACCGGCGGGTTGAGAACCCCTGCCTCTAGACTGATCAGCGGGCCTAGAGCCGTTGGGGTCTAATTTCAGGGCGAGATCCTCCCTTTCTTTCATATGAGGATCAGCGGTCTTGGAGAGTCCTAGTGCCTTAATTCACAGTACTCATGGGATCCACTCTCTAGGAGTGGGAGTCAAGACACGACCCAGGGTAAGTTTCCATGCTGCTTCTTGGGTGGGCCTTGTTTCCTTCCACGGCCCGAGACCAACCCCAAAAGCGGGGCATTGGCCCTGAGTCCGGTGCTGGGGGGCCACGGCCTGGGTGTGAGGCATTTTTTCTCCCTCACGGGGCGGGGTGTGCTGACCACCTGTAATGTTAGACCAGGGGGGGGGGGGGGGGGGGGGAGTTGTTAGGGGACCAGGCAGGCAGAGCCAGGCTTCTGCATGAGCCCATTAAGGACTATTTATGGCCGAGGTGGGAAGTGCCTCTGCCGGGCACATCGTGACCGTTACCGCCCACTGACTTAGCACATTCAGAACTGCTGTGTCTCCTCAGGGCCCAAGCTGTGTTCAGCACGACCGTCAATTTCTCTTTCAAAAAAGAACAAGAAGAAGATGACCAAAAGCCTCAGGCCAGGGCACTAAGTCAGGAGGAAAAGCCCGCTGGCCAAATGCCCGCAGGAGGGACACAGTGACCCATCTTCCTGGTGAGCTTGGGCACAACTTCCCACCTTCAGGTTCTCGGCAGCCTGTCCCTCGAGTGCTTTCCACCAGGGCTGGGAAGAAGCCGGCAGGGCATCGGGGCCACCAGAAGGCGGGGGGTGGCCTGTGCCCACTCCTGGGCCCATTCCATTGGCTCCTCATGGGCCACAGCCCTTCCCAGCAGAATGGCTGCAGCCATTTGACCCTCTCCCTCCTGGCTGCCTTTCAGATCTTTGAGGTCCAGACACTAGACACCAGGGGGCGCCAGACAGCCACTCAAACCCAGGCAAGCCCTTGGGGGTCCAGCTTTGTCCCCATTTCCCAGAACTTGGGCTCCAGGTCACCCCCCCAGGCTTAGGCGTTGGCACCACGACCTCTGTATCTGGCAGCGAGGCTTCCTATGGGTGAGGTTGTTTGTCCCTGGGCAGGCAGATTTAAAACACCAAACGCCATTTTTGGGGTGGCATGAATTGGGAACTTAGACTGAAAAAAAAATCTACCCTGTTTTCCCACCAAAGCTGTGTGAGTGATTGTCCTAGGTCTTCCTGAAGGGCTGACCTTGGAGACCCGAGGGCCCCAGGACCCTCCTGAAGGTTCGACCCTAGATCAGCCAGTATGGCTGCGAAGGGGAACATGAGTTCAGCCTCCGAATTCTGAATTCCCTGGGGCTTTATTTTATTGTACTGGCTTCTGAGTGGCTGTGTGTTGCTACACGGAGCGTTGGGTCAGATTCCTGCATTGACTTGCCTGCTTAATTCTATCATTTGAGAAAGTTGGGTTTTGTTCAACCTTAAGAATTTTTCAACATAGAATGGAGCTAAAAAGCACCTCTTATGCGTCCAACAGCTGACCTATAACAGCTACTGTAAAGAAGATGGGGGCGGGGGGAGTGAGAGTGGAGAAGTGTTTGGCTAGTTGAAAATCTTGATTTTAAGTGTCAAGTTTTTCTGATTTTTAATATGTACATGTTCTGGCCCAAGTGTGGCCCTAAGACTGGGGCAGTGGTTCTCAAACTTGAGGTGCATCAGAATCACTTTAGGAGTTTGTTAAAACACAGGCTCCTAAAAAATGAAAAGAAAAAGAGAGAGAGAGAGAGAAAACAAAAACAAAAAACAAAAAAAAAACACACAAAAAAAACACACATGCTTCTGAGCTCAGGGCCCCGAATTTCTGCATCAGCAGGTCAGGGACGGAACCAAAAACCTGAGTTTCAACAAGTTCCCAGGAGGGGCGTGCTTGCTGGCCTGGGGCCACGTGTTGAGAGCCACTGGGCAATGGCTGGTAAAGACAATATAAGAGAATAACGAACTACTTGTGCACCTCCTACCCCACCCCACCTTATTCTAGAATCCTATTTCCTATTGTTTGTCTATTGCAGTTTTCATTTATTTTTTTCTGAACACATATATACTGAGTGCCCACCATGAGTCAGGTACAAAGCCCTGGGGGTACCACCTTGAACAAGATGAGAAACCAGGCCCTTGAAGAACTGGAAACCTTGCGGGGGGCAGGATGCAATTGTTCAGGAAGAAGTGTTTTGAGAGAGGTAAGTCCAGATGCCAGATGCTAGGGGGCCCATAAGTGGTGGGAAGGGAGCTGTAGGGAGGGATAACCAGGAGGTCACCAGGTGAAGAGGTTTCCATGGGGAAAAAGTCCACGCACAAGGTCTTGGGGCTCTCAAGACATGAAAGGCTTGTGGCAACTGTGGGACGGGAGGAAGGAGGGCCTGGAGATGGCCCCTCTGGTTTGAGGTTTGGAGCTGAGTCCCTGTAATGGAAGGACTTTTGTCCTTCCTGTGTCCGGTGTGGGGGAGTGAGTCACACCAAATGCCCAGAGGTGGGTGCAGCCTTCCTGCACGGAGGGGCGGACACCCACTGTGCTGACCACCTTTCCAAGTGGCTGTGGACAGGAGGACTTTGAGGCTGGAAGCCAGAAACGAGTGGGAGCCCCTGATTGGACCCGGGGGAAGGAAGGTGTGGACCAGGAAGAGGCCTAGAGCTTCCTAAACAAAGGCCCTTTGCATGGTCCGGAGGGTCGTGGGTGCAGAATGGCGGGTGTGGAGGAGGAAGACGAGATGCCTGGCCGGACACAGCAGGTTCTGGGTGCTAACTTTCCAGGGCCAGGGAGGGCTTATTCTACAAGTGAGAGCATTTGCAAGTCTGCAAAGCCCTGGAGGAAGCCTGCTGTTCAGAAATGTAAACTTTGGAAAAGTGACCATCTGGGGGGGTCTTAGGACTTCGTTCTTTTTTAATTTTTCTTTCTCTTTTTATCTTTATTGTTGAACGTATTACAGATGTCCCCCTTTTTCCCATTGACCCCTTTTAGTCTCCCCTACCCCCCTAGTCCTTCATCCCACTATTGTCTGTGTCTATGGGTTATGCATATAAGCATGCAAGTTCTTTGGTTCATCTCTTCCCACCCACCAGCCCACCCACCTACTCACCCCTGCCTTCCCTCTGAGATTCAACAGCTAGTTCCATCATTCTATCTTTTTCAAAAAACATCAATGCCCATTTACATTCAATATTATTCTGCATTAGTTTCAGGTGTACAGCATA